ACACAACCACCCTTGCCGTTCTCTGCTGACTTTATCTCATAATGATCACCTCAGGCGACATCCACTAAAGGTGAAGACCCAGAACAGCCACCGTGATTGCCGGTATCACTCGTTTGCAGTCAGAGTGTGAGGCGCATGGAATTCTCTCCCGTCTGATGTAGTGTGTGCTCCTATAGTTTAACTATTTAAATCGCAACTTGATAAAGCATTGAAACACTTAAAATTTCAACATCCGTGAGTGATCACGCACATTATTATCATTGTTATTTTCTCTTTGTGAAGTTATTCAAAACATTCTGTAAAAATCCTATGGGGCATGATAAGCTTTAGCTCTGGTAANGGAAGCCGCCACTATCTGGTGACGGCGATGAGGTAGACGAGGAATAACTCAGGCTGGAGGGATAAAGACGGTAACACCAGAAATGGCAGTTTTAGAACGTTTTAGACAACCGATTTTGGGTCACAAGGATGGGGCAAACATCTGTGGCTCGAGAAATTGGTCAATATTGCTCGGAATCGGCGTCATTTGAGCATCTTATAAAAGACTCTTATTCGGTGGTTTGCAAAGTTAAAATATCTCCCACACTTCTGCCTCCATGTGTTGTGACACATTTTCGCATTTTATGCAATTGATTACGTGTTATATATATATATATATTTGACAAAAAGTAGTATATGCATGACTGGACAAAATTTCCCTGGAATCACACGATCACCAAGCCGTTCGTGTATCAGAACTTGTATTGATACAACGGTATAACTTTATGTTGAATTCGTTCCCGGTGAGGGTGCGGTGCTAGTGAGTTTCCTGTAATGTCCATGAGCAATCCAAACTTGCTTCCGTTTTTCAGACTTTAGCATTTTTCATAGCGTTTGTGTCGGCTTCTCTATGGAATCGAATAAAACGAAGTGTGAAGTCAAATCAGTGATCTCAAGTAGGTGACAATCCAGTTGACTTATTAATATACACACTAAGGGGGCATTCAAAAGCCCAAACTCCCGGTAGTGCCAACAACAAGATGTAGGGTGAAGATCACGAGGGGAATGAACTGCATTTGTTGCGTAGGATGATGAAACTCAGTGGTCTACTTCGGTCAGAGTGACTGGGTTCCAGATTTCGGGTAATAAAAGGCTATTGTGATTTGAGTCATTATAAAAAACCTAAACCTATTTGGTGGATTCCAAATACTTGTCACATGGGGTATGAAGTTAAACTGGGTTGTACACATCCATCGCGGTGTTTTCCTGCAGCACTTTTATTTTCCAATTTGTTCTTTAGAAATTCACCTCGGTCATAGTGTTCATGGGTTTCCAGAAAGGGAGTGATAGAGTAATGAACCGATCCCCCCTTCCGCCATTGATGTTAATGCATGCGCTGGCGTCGGAGAAATACAAACATCAAGATTAATTTTCGTGCGAAGATTTATGGTTCACCCAGTTGTACTTTTTATGCTCCCCTTCAAACCTTGACACACCCATGACCTGCCCAAACGGGGATGTTTGCTTGCCTTGACTCAGTATCGAAAGACTGAGTTGTCTTGTATGCTGGAAAACGTCCCAGCGTGATTTATCTCTTCTTCGTACCTTGTTTGGTCATGTCACGAATTCGGAGGATGAAAATGCTCCACACTCGTCATCATTACCACCACCACCACCACCACCACCACTGGCATCAGCGGTACACGTCTGGTTGCCACCGTTCGGGGACAAACGTGTGGTCTGACATCGGGAACCTTTCGATTTAGTCAGTTACTAGTTTTGGGGTAATGAAGCGATAAATTGTTGTTATTTTAACAATGACCAAGCCATAACTATATGTTCACAATCCAAATTCGACTAAACCGATTCTCACATTCCTTGTTCTTCTGATGCACGGGAATAACGTTGTAGTTTTAACACGCGTAACAAAGAGACACGCTTTTCCGCAAGTACTGTGTAACGATGGATAACTCTCTGGTAGATGGGAAGTCAGGCGCGATGTGGGCATTGTGTGTATCGTATGTGTTCCGTTTTTCTACAATAGTTGGTTCATGTTTTATCCTTCTGCATAGGAGATTTCGTTCTTCATACAGCCAAATGCTTGCTAAGACATTGTGAATGATTGCGCAGTAATTCTGATTTTATTATTGATGCCTTCTGAGTAATCCTACTCCTGTGAAAAGTCTATTGTAGGTTCTCTATCATTTTGAACTAAACAGCAAATTAGAATTCTCTTCCTCTAGAGAGGGACAAAACTATGGAAATGAATGTACTGTCCATTCCACGTTGCTTTCCTATGCACCGATAACTGGACTGAGCTATCGCTGCGGTGTCTCATGATTACGTCTAGAAATGCTACACTATTGTCTTTTTCTTTTTCCAGAATAAACTTTACGTTTGGATGGATATTATTGATTTCTTCAGGGGATCGATAGGTGTCCGCATTTGCATCTGCCATGCAACGTATCATCTGTACGGGGTACACTGTCTGATATGAGGCTCCAGGGGGTCGTTCTCAAGTTTGGCCATAAAGGTGTCAGCGAATAGTGGTCCTAAAGGTGACCCCATTTCAACCCCATCCTTCTGATGATATAATTCACCATTGAATTGACACTGTACGTTATACGTGCATACGAATAACAATTGTTTCAGCTCGTCCAATGGAATTCCCATATCGATATTGTTTCTCTGAATAAATTCACATAGGTGATTGGTAGTTTCACTAATTGGCACATTTGTGAACAAAGATGCAACGTCAAATGACATAATCTGTTTACCTTCGAGTTTGAGGTCCTTCACAGTTTCTACAAGATGAAAAGTATAGACTGTATCTGCAAATTGCGAGTCTCACTGGTTCCAGTATACTTAACAACCACTTCGCAACGGCATGATACGGGAGTTGCACATATCTAGAATGGGTCTCATAGGGACACTCCTTTTGTGTACTTTCGGAAGTCCACACAATCTAGGAATTGTTGTACCCGTTGGTCGTATTCTCCCGAACGTTAATGCGTCGATTGTTCCTTTCTGTTACAGATATCGTAATTTCATGGAGATCAATTTTTCTCTCTGAATTGTCCTATCCTTTTCAGTCGAAATCTTTGTAAACTTGGACGGGTCATTCAATATTACCCTCATCTTATCTATGTAATCAAACCTTTTCATCATCACAATACCTGCATCTTTGTCTGGTCTTGATAACAACAATTCTCTATTGGCTTGCAACTCTTTGAGACGCTTCAAGTGTTCCAACGTAAGCAGTCCCTTCGTTGATGGTTTACGATCGCGATCTTGGTAATATGAGTTCATAAGTGTGGATTTGAGTTTCTCTAACTCTTGCGACGAAGATGACACCATTCCAGATAGCTGATCGAATAAGCTCTCAAATTCGACCTCTGAATGTAATTGTTTAATCTTATTGGTTGGACAGCAGAATTTCGGCCCCAGAGATAACACGTCAAGCAAATTCTTATCCAAATTCACAGACGACAAATTATGGACATATCTCTTCGGATCTGAAAAGAATTCATCAATCAGTTTTCTAGGATTGACGCATTTTCGTAATGTCTTACATATCCGTTCGACTTGCCTGTCTGCGATCGATTGAACGTAAGCAACAAATTCCTCTTTCTCCTCTATGGTTAGGTCATCCAAAACACTGTACGATTTCACGGAATTCCTCTCCATTTCGGGTACCCTGCCGGAGCTGAACCGTTAGGACTCGAATCTCTCATTCCATGTTTGTTATTATTGTTAGTCATATCTAATGTTATGTAATGGCATGATTACGAATAACTGAAAACGAGCTTGTTCGCCACGCTGTTGTAATCCATTATCCTTGCTAGACCACATGGACAGTTAGGAATAAGACAACCAGAAACGACAAACAAAAGTGAGATAGTAATGATCATGTGAACTGAAACTTATTCTTTGGGGAAGGAGCGGGGTTGCTGAGTGTCGATTGTACCGGATAGAACGGTGTCCGTTGTGGACCACAGATATGCGTCTCCGAACGGGTGTGCGCGTATACGGTTTTCAGAACGGGACCAGAGGCGAACAGTTTTCTTTTCCATGATTCATGACCTCATCTGCATGGATTATACGGAGAATGTGGAATTTCTGCCCCCGGCTAGAGATTTTGTTCTTCCTTCCCACTTTGTTGGTTATTCACTCCCTCCTCCCCTGAAGATGTACTTGATGCGAGTGGAAGGTGGATTTGTTGTATGCACTTATGGGTACGCGCA